GTGCGGTATCAACGCGAGTCATTTCTTTTGAGAGCACGAGTGCGACTTTGATAAGCTATATAATTACAAACAAGACGCGGGAACAAATTGAGATATATGTTTTACGTCTAAAAGAATCGATTGTTCTCGAGATAAACGGCTCGTATGTGTGCGACTGTGTTCATTTTGTATTTGCGAAAATTTAAAGGATCGAGGTGCAACGACAATCCAAAGATGCGATCTCGGAGAACAGCGGTTAGCATTGTTGTAGTATGATCGCATGAATTGGCAAGAGTATCGCCAGAGAAACTTGCGCGAGATTTCCTTTTCTTTTTTCGTCGAGAATGTGCGTGAAAGAAAAAGTAAGAAAGAATGAATGGAAGAGAGAACGATAGTTAAAGAACTACGAATCTAATAGGGGAAGTTAATAATAGTTGTAAGAATAGCGAGTCGCGATCTCTGTGATGATGATAACAACGTTGAGGACAGTGGCGATGATTTTTCCTCCCTCCGTGTCCCTTTGACGGTTACTGTCACGGGCACGACGAGATGCAATTAACCGTCGAGGTTTTTAGAATACATAAGACATAGATGATAACGACTGTAATCTATTATGTAGTATTGTAAAAGAAAAACAAAAAGCTAATACTTAAGGTTCTGACTGGAGCGCGTTAATAGGCATTATATATATATGTCACGATTAAGAATTTAACTGTTTACAAGGAGGGAGCACGTCGGTCGATGATAATGAAGATTGTAATATAGACGACGCGATACATTTAAATAATTGTAAATAAGCAGATAAAAACGCGTAGGAGGGAGGGTGGATACCCTCGAAAACAGGCACAGAGGCAGAGAATTATTTTGCTACGCGAGAAGAGGGAAGACTTCCGAGAGTTTTTGTGTGCGGTTCACATTGATGACCCGTTCGAGCGATTCGTCAGATCCGAACGTCGATAAACAGCCGATTTCGCAAACGTGAGATTAAAACCGCGAGAATGGACAAGAACAAGAAGAAGAAAGAAGACACAAGAAGAACAGAAGAGAGGAAGAATCGTCGTTACGCGCAGAAACGAGATCTAGATCGTCTATTCATCTAATGACGAGATCCAATGTCAAGTTCGCATTTGTGATAATATTTCCAAGATCTTCGGAGGAGAGGAATAATACCAAGAATCGCTATCTTTGAACAACGGAAAATTATCCTCAACAACAATACATCAGATAATTCGAGATAATTCGTCGTAAATGCGGGATAAACAATTCTGTCGAGAAAGTAAACTGAGTGGCTATTTCTTATCTGTTATTGAGATAGGATGACTCAAGGAAGAAATGCGAGAGACATCATTGTGATCGCATGAGAGACGAGGAAGGAGAGATGGATGATACGTAGATGACCAGCGACGGCCACCTTTCGACGCATATCCCCATATTGTTTTCGCGAAACAATCATCTTATCCTTGCGCGTCCGACGAGGAAATTTCGAAGAAGAATTAGAAGTAATCAAGAAAGAAGAGAAAGGCGGAAGATCGGGATACGGATGACAAACTCGACGCAAAGGATCATCGCAGCTTTTTTTCTTCGTCTTTATATCCGCAGAAACAAAAGAGAATCGTCAAGAGACCAAGATGCGGATGATCGAAAATCCAAGGACGAAGACTGTGACGCTCGGGGAAAATAATGTAACGAATAAGGTGAAGTTGAAGGAAGTTCCTGGAAGCTGTTCGCTTAAATCGCTCGATATTATTGTAAGAAGAAGAAAAAAAGAGAGAAGAGTCATATTTGAAAGGTGTTAGAGCGTAAACTGTTTGTATCGTACTTTGCTTTGCACATTTAATACTGATGAGTTTTTCGAAGAAAGAGCTGTGAAGCAAAACTAAAGGGATTCAACAAAGAAGAAGAAATGCAACGATTATGGAGAAGAGAGAGCGATAATGGAAGAAGACTAAGGAAACGCAAATTTCTCGGGTGCGAGTGATCATCAAGATACGGAGCGAAGAGCGGAGCAGCAAGTATATATGAAAAAAGCTCTCCGTTCGTTAGCAGAGCAGTATCTTGAGTCTGAATGAGTGTAGTGGGTCTCAGGATTTCCAAGAAGAAAAAGAAACGGACCAGAAAATGTCTTTTTGAAAAGGCGCCAAAAAAAAAATTATAAGTGCAGATGAAACCAATGAGAGAGAAAGCGGGCATGCGTGAATGTACGAAAGAGGCGAGAAGTGTCGAGGGCAAGAGACTAACGAAGGAGAGAGAGAGAAAAAGAGGAAGAGAGCTTAAGAGAGAAGTGGAAGAGAAGACCGAAAGGAGTCAACGATTTGGTGTGCAATAGTGTCCGATCGATTTCGGGGATGTGGTAAACCAGGAGAACAAAAAGCAGGCGGAGTTTTCGATTCCTCGATCACAAGTCGTGGGAAAACCCCAAGCGGAGAGTCTTTACGCAAGAGAAAAGCCGGGGAGTTTTAACAGAACTTTCTGTTTCCGTGACTTCCAGAGTATATTTCAGCGCAGCGCAATTATACAGCCACATACACGGGGACGGAGTTCATGTATTTCTATGTCTATGTGAGTCGCTTATATATTATGAGAGGCGCACATATTCATATTATTGTTGAACGAAGAAAGAAAAGGAGATACAATAAAAAGAGAACTGTGGAAGACAAACTGCGAAATCAGAGAAGAATCTCTGATGAGATGATCGGAGATAAGACAGAAATAGAAGAAGATAAGTTGCGGACTCGCTTGACGAGTCCGTGTAAATAGATGTGTGCTGCCGCTTTAAAAAGAAGAAACCGAAGAATCCTTGGAATCTACATATTCAAGAGGAGAACGGAATTAGCATCTTGCCGTTCACGTAAGAAGCGAAGAAGGAAATAATCAGAATGGAGTAGAAGAAATTTTCAATTATTTTTTTCAATATATTTCCATTCCCTTATTAAAAAAGAAGAAAGATTTTTTTAATCGATTTAAGAATTCTAACACGTGACTTTTGGCCATCTTCAAGATTTGCAATATATTTCAAGGGAGAATCGCTTTTTTCTTTGTTTCTTCCATCTTGTATGTCCAGTTGTATTCTACTTAAAGATTCTTCCGCATAATCCTTCATTATCATTCGAACGTTCACATGAGCCTGGACAGGGGGGGGGGGTTTTTAGTGGGTAGGCGATACACATATGTCGAATCCCACACACCTCGGGGTACGGATCCCGAGGCGTCTTGCGAAGATTTTCCCCCTCCTACGTAAAACAAAAAAAAAAAAAGAAATGATGCTATAAGTCTGTTTTCTGTGGCCAAACCAGTGTATACTTTTGAAACTTAAAGTGAAATAGGTATATATTTGATATTTGTCGAAAGCGAGAAAGAGAGTGCAGAAACAGAAAACAGACCATATGTAAGCTGACCTTTTGAAAAGAGACGTGCAAACTGTCCTTTTCAGGACAAATTTTCAACATATCTAATAAATAATAAAATGTTCTTCCTGTTAAAATACATTCCCTTTTCAGGATATTGCTATGATCGATTGGAGACAGGTACTATACAGTTTTTAATAATAGTATATTTTTTAATTGAATTTAATATGTATATTTAATAGATACCCAAAATTTAACATTAAATCCATTTTTTAATAATAAATTTCATCATGCAAAAAATTGTGAAAATTCTTTATTGTACCTTTGTATAAAATTTGTATAAAAATACGAATTGAACTTTAATCTTGTTTGACTCTTTGAATTTGTAAATATTGTCGATCTTAAAATAATTTATGATATAGTTTTATGTTATCAAATCAAGACTAGTTATTATTTCTTATCTATAAAGAAAAATTTAGTATGTTATGATATAAGGTTCAATGTTCCAATTTATTTCAGTATAAACATTTACATACATATGTGCAACATATAAAACATACATAGCAATGTGTCAGTCCATTCAGCAAATGGCGCAAGCAATTGCGTCAATCAGAACTACGTTCAAAACAAGTGACGTGGAAATTTCCATATTTCAATATTCGCACGAACATCTCCAATAGTCAGCATATCTCTATAAAAGTAAGACATATTTATGATCTTTCGAATGTATAATTTTTTCCTTAATTTTTACTAATCTCTTGTATTAAATAAATAACTTGTATATATGTATATTTTTAATAAGTGCCTTATAAGATTATTTAAAAAATTGTTTGACCTTCAACTGATGTGATACACGCAGATTATAATTGTACAAATATTTTTAATTTTTATTATAGATAAATTGTTTTTTTTATAGAAAAGAACACATATCAGGAAAACGAGCTCTGTTGTACTTATTTCATTTAGAAAATTAATAAAAAAGAGAAATGTTTGAGTGATGAATCATCCAGACTTAATTATCTTACCTCTTGGAATTTATACATAAGCTGCTGATACTTTCTTTGCCAGTCACCTCAACTTTCGCATTCGTTACAGGTTTACCATCTGTGACGTTGTAGAATTTTACACACGCGCCTGCTCCGTAAACTGCGAATATGTCTTGATTGCCAATCATCCATGTTAATCCCACAATTGTATTGTCCACGGAAATGGTTTGATGACTGACATGCTACGTTCATGTAACACAATTATGTAATGTGAAAGTTATATTTAAAAAATTAAAATTAATATATAATAAACATTTTTATAAAAATTTGACTATTTCACTTTTTTCTCTTCTATGCTTATTATTAGGATATTTTAGAAAATATTTTATCTCTGGTATTTTTATCTCTAATTTTTTGACTAAGTAAGTATTATTCGCAGAACAGTCACGTTTTGCCAAGAATGACGAATATTTACGTGAATATCAGGCATTGAAAAAACAGCAGACTCATGTTTTGCTTAAATACTTGTATATTCCAAAATAATATTCATAGCAAGTCATTGTAAAATACAATTAAATTAAATAGAATTCTGTAAAATTTTCTATTTCTCTAATTTTATTTTTACGTAAATGCTTTTTATATGCCAGAATTTCTTTTCTAACACAATTTAATTTACGTGATTATCATTCATTTTTAATCTCTATATTCCATTACAGAAAAACTCAATTGAGCTAAAAGATATCAAATAATGTTCCTTATTTTTATAGGATTAAAATCGTAATTAGCAAGGCTAAAACACGATATATGGAGTGTATCATGTTATAAAAGCATGATATATTTACCTCATCAAGATTGTATATACGGATTTCCTTATCCGTGGCGCTGCTGACAAACAAATTGCGTAACGGTGAGCACTTAATGCAGGTAATGCTACCTCCATGTCTTTCATATTCATCGATTACAGGATCTATAAGCGTGGCATCTCCTGAAATTAATAAAAGTCTCTTGTTTATAATGAAAAATCGTATTACTTTTTATTCCTGTTATTAATAGATGCGAACCTTCGATAGGAGTTATGCTGTCCAAGCTACATTTATAAATTCCACCGCATAGTGTTCCAACGATAAATATATTTGGATGCTTCGGTGAAAAATCGAAGCTTGTGATACACAGTCCTGCTTCTGCAGCGCGTTCGCTACCTCCGGCGCTACGTGGCCTAGCATTTTCCACCGGATTACGTTCCTTGACTATTTTGAATCTATAATGCAACAGAGATTGCATAAACAAGATTGCATAAACGAGATTGCACATATAATTGAAATAATCGATTAAGTAGCCAGCAGTACACACCGTTTGTGCAACTGAACGGTTGTAAAGTTAGCCGTCAATTTGTGAATCAATATGTATCCATCTCTGCTGGAACTCAACAACAGGGTCACGTCGTTCACAGATCTTGGTCTCCAGCACACTTGGGACACACAGTCGCCATGCGTGCATACGTGCATGGGTACGATGGAATCATCATTCCTGAGATTCCAAATTAATACATCCCCTTAAGAAATCATACAAACAAATATATTTGTCAAATATATACGATAGTGAGATGTGAATTTTGTTAATATTGCTGCTAATTGGAATTAACCTTCTACCGACAATTGAGATCCTAAAAAGTACTATCAACATTTTCTACATTTTTGGTAAATTTAAATTAAAAATAAGTGAAAAATAAGTTGAAAAAATAAAAAATAAAAAAATAAGTTTAAAAAAATAAGTGAATTAAAATCCGACTTCCGATGATAAAACTCGTTAAAGCCTTGACTACTGAAGAATAAGAATACAAGAATTTTTTCAGATTCTTATAAAATCCGAATATGAAAAATTTGCTCTGTTTCTTGATCCTTATTGCTGACAGAAGAATTAAAAATTATGTTGCTGAGTCGGTGGGTCAAAGAAATTTACAATTAGATAATCCGGCTGCGAGGATAGAGGGTTCTGTTGGGTGATAACACAGCGTTGTAATACATCCATTCGTCTCTAATGTTCTAATAGGTACGTCTATCACATTATCTTCAGTTGTGAGATTGTATAACTGAATTGTAGAAAGATGATCGCACCATGCTTCGTGATAAGTATGACTGAGGCCTACTGCTAACGTTCCGCCAACGGTGCTCCAAGATAAGTCACTTATTTTAATCTAAAAAGCATTTAATCATTTAATCTCGTATACAAATTATATAATTTTATTAAAAAGATGTACCTGAGTGTCTGGTTCCTTCGGTATGCTTATTTTTTTTAATAACTCTATATTAGTGGATGATGCTTCGGTTACATTTGGATTATAGTCGTCAAAAGCATTAGTAGCATAAGCTTCATCAAGAGCTTCCAGGATTCCCGGCGTGACTTTTTTCAGAAACTTTGCCAGTTTATCATAATCCACTTGTACATCTGTTTTTTGTCCATTTACTGTTTGAATCTGAAATTAATAAAATAAATATGTTGAAATAAAATATGAAAAAAACAAAGATAGTTATTTAGATACAGTGTTAATTTTAGAAATATATGGTTGCATTCTACTTGGCACTTACACAATGCTTGCATTATTTATTTTTGTTTTATACAAACAAAAATGAAATTATTCCAAGAACATTGCAAGTATCAAGTGGAGCCTATAAGAATTAAATACAAAATGTAAATATAAAAAAACTGTGTATGTTATAATTTATTGACGTTTTGCAATTTACATATTTTTTCAAGAAGTTACTTTGTCTTGCTAAGCGTAAACAAAATTTTCTAAAAATTTTGGAATTCAAATAAAACATACTCCAATACTTCTTGTCTCTGTGGTTTGCGTTTCATCAGCAGTATAAACTATCTCTGTTGTTTGAACATTTGCGGACGTTTCCAATCTAGTAGAGAATGATATGGATGCGTTATTAATTAAAATAAAAGATTATTTATATACACATATAAATTTTACAACAATAATATTAGAATTACAACTCACCTCGCAGTAGACAATTCCGAATTGAAGCTCACAACATCGAAGGACTTGGTACTAAACATTGTTGTCGACCAAGCCTTTTCGTAATTTATCTCTTTTTTTATTAAGCGTTCTGATTTATATTAATTAAAAAAAGTCATAAATTATGCTCTTTAAGGATACCCGATTCGGTTGTCACTGACGCTATCGAGGTGTATATTTATGTGGCATCAGTACCAGCTGTTAAACCGTTCTCGCCATCTATACCATGTTGGATGTAATGACTATGTACTAACTTATAAAATCAGATATATAAAATTTCTTAACCGATAACATAGGTTAAAGCAAGTAGCTTTCGCATCATCATTTGGAAGGAATATACTATATTTTGGTGTGCTTTTCACAGTGTTATGAAAAGTTTTGAAAAACGCATCATAATGTAAGAATGAATGATGGTTGAATTCTTATTTAAAAATTTTAATCTATTAATCTATTCCAGATAAATTATTTGCACATCTTTTTTTCAAATTTGCATATATCATCTTTTTAAAGTATCGATTTCGCATTACTTGTTTCCTTATAT